CCGGGAAATTTACCTGGACATTCGGAATTTTTTTTAAAGAAAGGGCAAATTCCCGGCCACAGGGAGACACCAGGAGGGAAAATATATGGCCTCTGGACAATCGTTACATGGCAAATGTCCCACCCCTGGATTAAAATTGTGTTTTTTTCCCATCAATATTGTTTAAAAATTGCATAGTGCTATTTAGCAAAAATTGCATAATGCATGGGGGTATAAATCATCTAACTTAAAATTGTATTCTGGACTTCTGGAATCTGGTATTAAACTTTAGTACTAATTGGTAACAATGTATTATCAAATATGTAACAGTGTATTATATGGCAAGTATCACTTCCGGTGAAATGGTAGACTGTAATTGGCTGAGTATAAATCCCATATAATAAACTTTTTATTAGGGGTGCAGCGGAACTTGGTTCCTGCCAGAACCCCGATTTGTCAGAGTTCGGGTTCCGGCCGGAACTAATATAAAGAGCATGGCCAGAGCCGGAACTCTGTCGTTTTCAGAGCGATAGAATATCAAACGTGAACAAAAGTTCACAGCAGGAAGAAATTTGGACTATGCAAGGGAAATCACTTCATTATGACGTTTAACATTTGTCAAATCTTTTTATTCTAAAATTTGTGAGCTCTCTCCTTGATGATTAGAAGTGTTTGACTGTCTGGCAGCGGACAAATTAGTAACATATGACTATATATGGCTTAATAAATCAGTTCCGGTTCCGGCCGGAACTTTTTTCCAGTTCCGGTCGGATCCGGTTCCGGCCGGAACTTAAAAAATTGGTTCCGGTGCACCCCTACTTTTTATTAACCTTGAGAAATATCGGACCTTGGTCTTTTTGTACAAATCTTACCTTACGGGCCCGGTCTGTTCAAAAAAGACTTTGGTCTGATATTTCTCTGTACAGACCTCGTGTTTGGTGTGTATTATTAACATTAATTACACCTTACTGTTAAGATATATTGTCTCACTGCTATTTTCTAAAAATTAATGTAACATACACTACCATAAAAAAACTGTGGCATTGCAAGCAATTATTCAAAGCAGATATTGAACATACGACTACACAAAAGTCAACTACATGAGGTCACAGTGACGAGTCGATGGAGGGTTTTTTCACTAACTAACTAGTGTCAAATGTCCAGGGGTCTTTTAGCCGCCAAACAATGTCCGCCCCAGGTTTACTAATCTGTGAGCAAATTCACGGCCTGTGGGAACGAAGTGCCCACCAAATGACCAGCAGTCTGTGGGTGGGGGAGGGGGTTGGGGTTATAGATAATCATTGGTCACTCATGGAATTGACTCATGCATAACCTAACCCCAAACCTGACCCCCCCCCACATCCAATTATTTTTGAAAGACCTACAGTACTTTATAAATGTCTGGTACCAAATATCACAATTCACAAGCATTGTTCAGGAGCAAGTGGCTAGCAATCACACCCAATATATATTATATTATATATATGATATTTGTTGTGTTGGTGTAGTGTACTCAGGTGAATAAGATGATTCCCACCATGGCCAGGCATATTTTTCAAGCCTGTCCGGTGTGAATACACACTCAGAGTAACATCACAAGCATCTTATATTATATATATTGTCATATTAACTCATTGAGTTACAATGCGCCAGTTTGCCCAGCTACTTTTTTTTTACTTGTCTAACACCTGGCGATTTTACTCGTCAATGGGGATCGAAGCTTAGTTAGCTCGGCAGTTTGATGGGTTAACCAAAAAATCTGACAATGTCTCTACTACTGTAGTTAACCCATTGAGCTGCAATTCACCTGAGTGCACCTATACTTTTTTTTACTTGTCTAATGCCAGACGATTTTACTTGTCAATGGGGAAGCTCTGCAGCTTGATAGTTTAACCACAAAATCTGACAATTGATGTCTCTAGTTAATCCATTGAGCCACAATGTACCCGAGTGTGTCCTACTTATTTTTTTTTACTTGTCCAATGCCAGACGATTTTACTCGTCAAAGGGAAGCCTGCAGCTTAATGGGTTAAATAATGATTAATTAAATAAAACTTAACCTTAAAGTTAGCAAATAAATAATTAATTAATTAATAATTTTGAAATAAATTTTCAAAATGCTTTCAATTTTTGGCGTATCTATTGTTTTGTATTTTAGCAAATAATATACTTAGCAAGCAACATGCCAATGATGTTACAACATACGTACACATTTTATACAAATGAATCCGTTTTGTTCTGACAGTCTACTGATAAAAATTGTGTACCTTTTGTTGTGCCAAAAGGATACGATTGTTGTTATGTTCTAGGATTTTATTTTCAAAACAAGAATTAATTGTCGCTGTTTTCAAAACAAGTGTATGCCGCTTTTGAAATTTTGTCATTGTTTTCCTGTTCTTCAATGCCAATGTCACAATTTTATTTTCTACAGTATATGTCACCGTTTCAAGGCAACGTTGCCTGTCAGAATTGACCCTAACATGCATGGCCTTGTACACAAAATACAGCAAAACAAATCAATTTGTGTGCAAATATGGACAGAACTTTGTGAGTTGTGTATTGGACATGTCTGGCGAACAGCCTTTTCATTCCATACTGGATGAAGTCGAATGTGTATTTATTTATATCAGTAGGTTATTTCAGTCACACATGCACTGTGAAAGACTCATATTTCATTTAAGTACAAATTAAGCCAAGTTAGTCCCACTATGTACAGTAAGGTCTGGAGTGACATTGAAAAGAAAAGATTATAGACAAGATAGAATGTTTATAACAATGCAGTACTTACTGATCAATGAAATTAATTGAACCTTAAGCTTATAGAGATCACCTTTAAATCAGAGCATTTTCTTAAAAAATATACCAGAAAAATGTCCAACCAAAATGAAATTTAATCAGAAATTTACAAATTTGGTTATAGACATTTTTGTATTTCATCTGACTCCCGGCATCCTATTGTATAAATCGCATGTCAATAAATACATTATGCCAAATGCCAAATTGTATAATACAATAATAATACCAAATTGCCAATTGCCAAATTGTATAATACAATAATAATACAATACACTACAATAAAAATACAATATATAATACAATACACTATTATACACTATAATACAATACACTATTAATAATACATGGTAGAAATGCTTTTAAATTTGAAGTTGTGTAAATATTCTTTATGTTATTGTGACTGAATACAATCTTAGGTTAACCCATCTTTCAAGAAATCTGTTAACTACTTTTCGTCCGGACAACATGTCTGACCCATTTAGTGTTCGGAACAACTGTAATACCGGAAAGTATATCTCTTTGGCTATAGAGCCTCATTTTAGTGATTGAGACGATAGGCTTTAACTGAAATGTTGTGCACACGAAAACGAGGTTCGACAGCCAAAGTGACACTTTCAGGAAGGGTGTAATTAAATTTGGTTAGGAAATGTCTGATGATTAGTTCATTGGTGCTTTTTCACTATGCACCATTAGGACAAGGCTATCAAGCAAGACCTGGGGCACCAGCCTACCAAGGAGCACCAGGTTATCAACAACCTCCTGGACAGCATGGGGCACCAGGGTATGGACAGGGTTACCAAGCACAACAAGGATATCAGCAACGCCCACCTGCACATCAGGGCATGCAGGGATACCACAGTCAACCTGGGTACCCTTCCGCACCTCCCCCAGGAGGTCCACACGGAATGCCAGCACCTCCACCTGGTGCGGATCCAACACTTTGGAACTGGTTTATCACAGTTGATCACGATAAATCTGGACAGATTACGGCTAATGAATTGAAGCAAGCTTTAATTAATGGCAATTGGACACAGTTTAATGATGAAACATGTCGATTGATGATAAGTATGTTAAATTTACATAAATTTTCGTTGGTACTTGTAACTTGACTATGTAGATCATTCCTATAAATCTGCTAACATGTGTTTACAATAATTGTTCCATTCAATGCTTCAAAACAGTGGTAGGTTAAACTAGGCATGTTAGTTATTCAATAATTACGAATGCTATTATTAAACAAATTTGGTTATCGTAACACACTGTGTACCCTGGTTGCCAGAGGTTCTGTATCTTTCGCCTTATTCCCGCTCGTATATTTATTTTACGCGAGGCGAAGAGAACCTCTGGTGGCACGCGATACAAATCTCACTTCCATGCTGACGTTGCCGTTGAGAACTTGCAAAACCGGGTTTATATTTTGTGACGTTTTTAAACTTCCGGGTTTGTCATACTACCAAAATAGCTCTCTTCAGACTGTTTGGCAGCCTTGTGTAAAGTATTAAAAATAAGCAGCCCAAACATGTAGGTTATTCATTAGAAACATGTAGATTATTCTCGCAACGCACAAAGCCACCTTATATACTGATTGTTAAATTTGTGGAATGCCGTTTGTAATAGCGAACGTTAGGAACGTCTAAAGTCAAAAGTGAAAGAATATAAATATATAAATATTTATATATATGTGTGCAACGGAGCCAGTATGTACGTTGTCCTTAGCAGACAACGGGAAAATATTGGCAAAATAAATCATATTAATAACTATTAAAGTCAAAGAATTACCAAAATTTAAAACCTTGAACGATATAAAGCAAGTGACTAACACTATATATTTTACAAATATTAATACTGTAACTGAACATGTCATGCCGTCAACTCAAGTCATGCCGCGATGGCAGGTCTTCTCCAGCGCAGAAAATCGTTTTATAGCGAAACAAACTAAGTTAATCTCAAATATATAAACCCACACCAAGTAAAGCATTTTAGTACGTTCGTATTATTTCTGCATTTTGTTTACATCATGTTCTCTGAGATTTATAAACAGGTTTTTTTGTCTAGCCAATCGCATCACTTCATGTGACTGCTAATTATAACTAACCAATCATGTGCTTGGTACAAATTTTGTACCAAAAGAAGAGAGATTT